AGTAATATCAGCCGTTTGTCATAGTGAAATTATTGTAGCTAGGGATAGACCCTATTTACAGACTCGATGGTTTTATTTATTTATTTATGAGCTTGAACATTAATTAGACTCTGATATGCTTCATCGCCCTGTGTCCCACTTACCAAATTAACCAAACACACTTTTGAATTTTCGAATTTTAAATATTTGATAATTTTGTAAACATGAGTATTAATACGCTCATTCGATGATTCACTGCACTATTTGCCGTACATCATATTGGTACCGCGATGTTTTGAGACCTTAGATGCCTAACGGAAAGTTGTTTGAGACTCGTTTGGCTAGACTGCGATTGCAAATGCGATTGCGATTAGTCGGCGCACAAAGGACTGCTGTGTCCTGCGGCATGATTCCTTGCGAACTAAATGCCAGCCGTGTATGCGTCTATCCTTTTATATGCTTCGGCCAGTGCGCACTTGGGACCGCTGCGCAGAGCATTCTGCAGCCTGACGCAGACGGCGTCAAAAAAAGCGTTCAACAAGGCGCCGTCGCCGCAGCCAAAGCGTCCTGATTTCTGACTCATTGTCACATATTTACTTCTGAATGCTTATACATATATTTCTCACCAAAAATTGAAATATATTTAGTCTTTCTTTCTTATTTGCAAATTAATTATTATTATTGGTTTTCCTTAATATATATAACACCGAATTACGGATTCAGAAACAGGATATTTTAAGTATATATTTTTTAAATTTATTTATTTTTAATTTAGTTAACATTGTATTTAAAATTATAAATTAGTTTGGCTTAATAATTCTCATTTTGAATAAGCTATATTTTTATGTACAATTTTATCTGCTGTTTCTACGTAATATTTATTATTTTTGGAAAATTTTTTTTACGAATCTTAATAATTATTTTTAATTTCAAACAAAATTCTATTTGCAACATGTCTAGAGCATTTGGAAAGATATGATCGGATTGTTTATATGTATCTCGCAATAGTTTTTCCTGTATTTCAAAAATTTCTGGGATGCTTTTAGTGTTGAGATGGAGAACTAAGGGTATCAATGTAGGGGGTTCTCAGTTCAAATAAGAAAACATGAAGCAACTATGAGGCAGTACCTCGATCGTGTGACTTATTATTATTGAATATTATTTATAAAATAAACTAATGTTATATGATTTAATATTGGTTCAATTGATTTGAATGTCCATATGTGTGCATTTTATATGCATACATGTATTCTGTTCCGTTTTGAGAGGCAATGGGTTAGTCATAAAGCTGACCGAATAGCACGTAAAATGAATTGCAATCAAAACATGGAAGCGTATTAGAATGGAATACTCCTCTAAAACTGAGCTGAGCAATAGAAAATAAATTTGTACTAGCTGGCGACACTTCGCTTCTGGTCCCCATGGTGCTGAATCTTAAACCTATTCTGTATCTGTATCCGCGCCCAGCTTAGATGTCGAATGTTGGCTGCCGGTCTGCCGGCTCCAGCAACATTGGCGGCAACCGCGTTGGCGACGGTAACACAGACGGCGACTGGCGGCCGAAGTCAACTAAACAACGCCAGCCATAACAACAGCAACAACAAGAGCGCCGGGGTCGCGATTGCCCGACTCGGAGATACCCTCACTTCTGTCATTCAAAATATTATAGCTGACATACACACGATTTATACACCCCTTAGGATATTGCAGCAACCATTTGTCAAATGCCTTATTAATTGACTTACATAAAAGTATGTATGTGAGTATGTATGTATGTATGTGAGCCAAAGCACGCATTTAAAAGCGAATGGGAGAAAATATCTCAGTACAGCCCAGGCAAACTTATGTTTATAACCAATGCCCATACTTTTTTCAAACCGCTTCAGGGATATTAAAATTATCAATCTAATAATCTATATATATACATATGCAACATCTTTCTGAGATCGATGGAGCTAGACAAAAAGTCAGGCAGACTTGTTCCTCTCATAAAGAATTTATATGCGCTTGGCGGGCTCAGCCATGCCCATTTCTCTCTGTTGTGTGCATTTTAATAGAAACAATATACCCGGTCATCGGATTGTAATGGGTTCAGGGCATAATAACAGCAACAATAACACAGTCATAACGACGAACCCCCCAAAGAGAGAAATGCCCGCGTCCATCCTTGGCGTCGCATTGGCAAAAAGCCCTTCCAGCAGCTCCATGTGTCGAGTGCTAACCGTGGAGCAGTGCGCGCTAAGATGCATGACTTGAGCCCCGGATATATTTTAAGCTAATTTGCTGTCGATACCTAATACATGCACTAGTATAAATATGGCTAGTCCTATGCCTTATTGTCGGATAGTTTGGTATCATGCTTTGCCTCTTCGTACCACTGTGCTCGACAATTCGGTGAGACGCAACAAAGAAGAATGTCGCCGCGTCAGGGACTTAATCATGCCACAAATAGTCGCCTTACTTTTGGAAAATTTTCAAAACAATAACCGATTACAAAATCACACTTAGCAAATCGAACAAATTTTTTGTACATCATGTAATAGCTAAAAGTCGTGCAGAAAGTGTGTCTCGGCCCGTTGAGATCGTAAATTTGTCTGAAATGGCATTTTGATGAGTGATATGATTTTCGCAAATTTCCAAGTTCAATCCACAATTTGCAACGATTCAAATTTGGAGTCCTTTGAGCAACGCTGCTAACGGTTGATGGTTTATAAGACGCCAGAGTGCGTAACAAGTGTCGACAGCTTCGGAAGTTGTTTCAAAGCTCGGAATCGACGTCGCTAGCGCCAGCGACGACCAGAGCGACGACAACTTGTCGGCATATATATATATATATTTTTTTTTTTTCAATAAAGTGAGCGACACACACACACACACACACACACAAACACGCACAGACTGAGCATCCAGCAGGCACAGCTAGATACGGCTAGCGCTTGTGGCGACAATTCACCCCGTCCCACTTTGCGGATGGCGCGACAGTGGGTGCGAGTGAATAGTGCGCTCTAGGGCGCACTCTGGCCAAGTATCCAGAGACATACGAGGTGCGTGTGTGTGTGCGCTCATAAGGACGAGCAGGACAAAACAGAAACGGATACTCCTCATATGCACAACTCTGATTTCCAAGCAGCAACTGGCGGTAAGGGCGCGCGAATCGGGCGCCATTATTGCCACCATTGTCGCGACAAATGCCGCTGTTATCTCCAATTAGAAGCGAAAATAGTTGTGGCGTCGATGATGACGAGTTGAATTCAATTTTCGGGATGATGAAGGTGGAGAAGTCTTAATACTCTTCCAATAGATGCCACTCCTAACATAGTAAATCGGTAGTCGATAGATGCTAGGTAACAGTAGATAGAGTAGCACAATGTATTTTTTAAGAACTATTTGAGTCGAACATGAATGGATGGGTGAGCGGTGCCAATATTTTCTAGGTCTGTCCTGGCATTTGGAATTCACATGTAATTGAGAGTTTAGATCAACCTCTTTAGATGATACAATTTTCCCGATTTTTCGAGCCAGTATTATTTTTACAATTGGATAAAATTTACAAATTGTCAACCAAAAAATACGTTTGATGCCTACTTGAACTTTACTGGTTTCATAGGAAGTTTCATTTAATTTTGTATAGTTCTTATTCAAAATTCA